CTCTTTATAACCTAGCATGAAATCATGAGTGTTTCTCAGGCTGCGTGTATGTGACCGTGTGTGTGTGTGTGTGTGCGGGTGTGCATACATGTGCACATTAACTGCACTAGTCAGAGGGGCAGGACAGCGAGGGATGAAAGACAATGCTCAGGGCTGATAAAATAAATCAGTCTTCTGCCTTCCTCCAGTGACCAAATGAACAAATGCATTCCAAAAAATATTATTAAAACTCACAGCCCCAAGACATTATAGGTTTGTGTTGGTGAAAGTAATTACAGAACTCATTCTATGGTGTTATTGAAAATGCCTTCAGGGTCGTATCGACATGGCAAGAACGGCTATCAGTGAAAACAAAAGCAGGTTTCTTTAACTTACTTTGGTCATGATTCTTCCTTCCTTTGTTAAATCACAGGATTTTGCCCAGGATGGTCAATACAGTAAAGGAGATAAATAGTCTGCGTCATCTCTCTATTCAGGACCTGTGTGAGATAGGCACACAGACTGATGGAACAAATGAACAGTTGCTGTTGCGCAGAGAATGCCTCCAGATGCTAATTTAGCTGAGTAGATGCTAAGTTAGCTCAGTACCAGAATCACCTAGGAAGCTTTAAAACTACAGGTGGCGGGGCATGGTGGTGCCCATCTGTAATCCCAATGGCTCAGGAGGCTGAGGCAGAAGGATAGCAAGTTCAAAGCCAACCTCAGCAACTTAGTGAGACCCTGTCTCAAAATATAAATAGATAAAAAGGGGCTGGGATGTCGCTCAGTGGTTAGGCACCCCTGAGTTCAATCCCTGGTATCAAAAGAATAAATAAAAGAAATTAAATAATAAAATCAAAGTGCGAGTGCCCATTCTCCACTCCAGATATCCTGGTTCAATTCCTCTGCCCAGGACACCAGTCATTCAAGTTATTTCAATCTGAGTTCTTGCATTCATCAGCCATTCAATAGGTACTTATCAAGAATGTATTATAAGTCAAAGCTCTCAGCATACAGCAGTGAATAAAGCAAAAGTAGTAATTTTGACCTTTGTGGATTTTACATATAAGAAGGGAACACACAAAGAATCAGGTGAATCAGGATAGCATGTTAGAAAGTAATAAGGGCTACAGGTGGAAGAAATTAAGCAGGAGAGGAAAAGAGGAAGTTTAAGAGGAGGAAGATTTTCAATACAGTAGCTAGGAAAGTGACATTTAGAAAATGTCAAAGAATTTAGAAAGTAAGCCAAGCAGAAACCTGAGGAAAATGCATTCTAGGGAGCTGAAACAGCTTGTGCAAAGGTACTGGGGTATGAGTGTGGCCAAACTCTATTCCAGGAACACAGGAAGCAGAGTGGGCTGAAGAGAATGAGGTGGAAGTGAAGACGGAGAGATAATAATGGACTCCCTAAGTCGATGTCTATCAGGAGGATTTGAGCAGAATAATGATCCAACTTGAATTTTACAGTATTAGTCTGTCTACTCTGATGAAAACAGACTGAAAGAGTTCAAGGGGAAGCCAAAGAGACCCCTTGAAAATCCATTGATGTAATAAAGGTCCCTTGGACTTGGGATGGTCTGCACAGAGGTGGTGGGACTCAGATTCTGGATGTGTTCTTCAAGAAGAGCCAAAAGGATTTCCTGATGGATTTGATGTGAGGGCATGAGAGAAAGAGAGACTTCACCCCCAGCCATGGGCATAAATGATGTCTCCCAAACAGGATGAGAACGACTAGGGAAGAGGAAGCCTGTAGCAGGGAGAAATATTAAGAAACCAGTTTTGGACATGTTGCCTTTGTTCAAGTGCCAAACAGGTAGTGGGAATAGAGTTCAGGCACCAGGGTGTGCTGGAAATACACATTTGGCTTCATCACCCTAAGACAGTATTCAAAGCCAGTGGCATCTCCAAGGAACTGAGTTGGCTACAGGGGAGAAGCCTCTGCCAGCCGAGGGCCCTCTCCCCTCACCTCTGTGTCCGCCATGGTGCAAGGGCAACCAACCTGCTATCAAGGTACTAATGCCATCCTCCAGCGCTGGCGACCCAGTCCCTTCTAAAGGCCTGGCCTCCTATGACCGCCATCCTGGGGTTGGGGTTACAACCTGTGAATCTGAAATGAGCCCCTTTGCACAGGGGCTCAGGGCAAGTCAAAGTCAGGCTGCAGAGCCTCCTGTTTCCCAAGCCAGGTCTCCTTGCACCCCACGCCTTTCCCAGCTCTACTGCTTCTTTTCATTTGCCCTGCACCTCTTGGACAGGCCCGTTGCTGTCCTGAGAACCCCTAATTGGGGTCCCTGCTATGACACACGGCCTTTAGCAACCAGATGCCTGTGCCAGAGTGAAACCCCGAATCTGACTTGAGCCCCCAGCAACAAAGATCAAAGACCCTGGTGGAGGCAGACAGAACATGGGTGCCTCATCTGTCTTGATAAGCTCCGAACGAAACCTGTCAGGAATTCTCAAGGAAATGAAGAGCAAGTTTCTGCCCTTGATGGGTGCCTGTTACTTCTGCTTACATCGCCAGGAGCTGTTTATCTGTACCAATTAGGAGATTGACGCCAACAAATCCAACCAGGGAAAAGAGCCACCAGGATGTGCAGAGACGGGCAGAAGATGCTAAGCCTGCCCCACTGCTCTCACATAGATGGCACGATTGCTTGGAGTTTACAGGAGGGGGAGGTAGGAGCCTGCAAGGAGTTGTGCCTAGGGAGGGTAAGTCAGAGGGAGGGCTGGCTACAGTAGATAGTGTAGAGGTTTTTTTTACTGTATGCCAAATCTGGGAGTAAGTAGGGAGAGAGCACTTTACCATATGAGAATCCTCATATCTCATATGAGAATAATTAATATTTTATGGCATTTACTAGATGCCAGACACTGGACTTTATAATGATTTATCACATTCGGATTATCTTATCTACTTAATTTAAGGCACATTTACTGAGTAAATATATGTGTATGCATATACAGAGCATTAATATGTATGTTAAATTTTATTGTTATTGCCATTGTTTTCAAAAAAAAAAACTGAAAGTTTAAGTAGCTTACCCAAGATGACACAGCTGGTGAGCAGCACAGCCAGTTCTAAAGTTCATGGTATTAATTTATTATGCTATAAGTTTCTGATACTTCTAATCTTGGCACACAATAAAAGAACTTTCAAAATGGCTCTGATGCCCTATTTATCCTAACTCTGGGATCCTCACATCATACAGCACTCCAAACTTTTTCTCCTGACCATGTTACAGAGTCTTTCTTTTCTAATAGAAAAAAAAATAACTGAATGTATTTTGGCATACAACATGATGTTTTAAAACATGAAATTGCTAAACCAAGCTAATTAACAAATCTATCTCTTCAGCTTCTTATCATTTTTGTGGGGAGGATATTTCAAACTTACTCTTAATAATTTTGAAACCTACAACACATAATTTTCAACCATAGTCACCATTCTGCACAATGGTCTCCATCTTGTCTAAATGAAATGACAGGCATCCTCCACTCTCCCCTTACCCTCCCTCTGATAGTCCAATAGTCTCCATTCTGTGCTCTACTTTTATGAGTTTTTTTGTTTGTTTGTTTGTTTGTATTTTAATATTGCAAACACAAGTAAGACCATGCAGTGTTAGTTGTTCTGGATCTGGTTCATTTCACCCAGAATGATGTCCTCCAAGGTCATCCACGGGTATGGTCTGGGTCTGGAATGTTCCCCCAAATGTCCATGTGTTAAAGGCTACCAGGGTGACCTATTGGAAGACAGTGGGACCTTGAGGAGATGGGGCCTCATGGAAGGTCCTTAGGTCATTGGGGCTGTGCCCTTGAAGGGAATTATGGAACCCTACTCTCTTCTTTCTTCTCTCTTTAGTTTCCTGGCCATGAAGTGAGCAGTTTGCTCTACCACATGCTCCCTGACATTGCCATTTCACACACCAAGGGCCAAAGCTGTGGGCATGCCATTCATGGACTGAAGCTCCAAAACTGTGAGCCAAAATAAACACCTTCTTTTTTATAAGTTAACTATCTCAGCTATTTTGTTAGAGTCACAGAAAGCTTAGAATTCACTCCTAAGCCTAAATAAAATAATATTCCATAGTGTATATAGATCTGTGTGTGTATATACACCACATTTTCTTTATCCATTTATTCATTGATAAACATAAGTTGATTTTCTGTCTATGAATAATGCTGCAGAGAACATGGAGTGCAGTGTCTCTGATGAGCTGATTTCATTTCCTTTGGATATATATCCAATAGTGGGATTGCTAAATCATGTGATAGTTCTAATATTAAATTTTGAAGAAACTCCAGACTGCTTTCAATAATGGCTGTACTAATTTACCTTCCACTCCACAGCACACAAGGGTTCTCTTTTCCTTACCTCTTTACCAACACTTCTGTGCTTTTGTATTTTAGATAGTGGCCATCATGACAGCCATGAGATGACACCTCATTGTGGTTTTAATCTGCATTTCCCTGATGATTAGTGATGTCAAGTATGTGTTCACATACCCATTGGCCATTCATACGTCTCCTTTTAAGAAATGTCTTCCCAGGTTCTGTGCTCATTTTTTAATCAGGTTGTTTTCTTGCTATTGCTACATAGTAGATGTATCAAAAAATTGCTTTGGCATATTTACCAGAGCAATACTACACTGGGTTATGCATCCTAACAAGTTATTATATGACACTTAGGAAGTAAAAAAGTGACTTCATGTGCTGAGTGGCAAGCAAGAGGTGAGCCATTTAATCCACCACCTCTCACCTTCAGGCAAGTAAAGATGAATAGCCCAAGAATTCACAGATAGGCAAAATCCTCCAAGATCTGTATAGAAAATTTATCTATGCAACTGGTGTGTCCTCCCTAAATGATTGGCAGATTCCACTAAAGATTCTCGGTGACCAGGATGTTTAAGCAGGTGGCTACTTCCCACCGGTGTCACCTGAACATACTAGTTGGTGACAAGCAGCCCTTCACCTCCCTAATGTGAACTTATCTCTTAGTGCTTTTTCTCCTTTCAAAGTCATTCATGTTAAAGTGAAAATATTTTTATTTGAACTAATATTCATCTCTTTCTTTTAAGTACTTTACATTGAATGTTATTTTTAAGACTTTATAGGTATAACATACCTAATGAAAGCAGACACAAATAAAGCATGCAAGAACTTTCCAAATAAGCAAACGATGATACACCGTCCAACAGTTGTAAATCACGTAGAAAAGCCTACGATTTTAGAATCGCTGTTGGGTGAGATTTTACGTTTCGTGCAAGAAAGTTTGGAATGGAAACATTATCTTTCCACGGGTGCCGTGAAGCAGCTGCTCGTGTGTAGAGAAGGCGATTTAGAAGAGTGATGAGAAGCTTTAATTAAAGCCCATCTGCTGTTTCACTGTTTCTGACTATTAAACACAGTTTGCGTTATTAACATCATACTTGGAAATGTAATTGCTTCAAGTTCTGTTTGCTGGGCTGCAAGCCTGCTGCTTCTCCACATTGTCTTCTTTTTATCCTTTTCCATGCGCCTCAACTCAGCTTACAAAGGAAAAAAAGTTCAATACTTCATATAGTCATCTGTACAGGATTAAGGCATACGATATTATCTGTGGATTAAAAAAAAAATAAGTAAAAGTGTTTAAAAAGGAAAGAAGTTCAAATTCACAAACCAGTAAGGATATCGACAGTTGTTGAATAAATGAGGACATTCTGATATCCCTGTAATTGATTAACAACCTGAGGGAAACTAAGGTGGAGGCTCACCTTGCCCCATGGTCAACTGTGAGGGAACAGCTAGACATGAGCCATGGCTCAGGGGTTTAAGAAAATACTGCTCAGGGAAAGCCCATTCATCCACAGCCCTGCCTCAGTAGCACCACTGGGTATGATAAGAGGGTTTGGGGACCTCTGCCTCATCTCAGCTTCATAAACTATTTCTCTTAAAACAGGAGGAAGATAGATAAATTAGGGGATAAGAACCCAAGGACAAGGATATGTTTGCTAAAAATGGTGTGCCTGCTAAAACATCTTAAGCAAAACCCTACACAACCAACACAGAACAGAGAGAGTCCCAGACCCAGGAAAGCACAGTGATTGAGACTGGAGCCCACCAACCAAAAATTCTGAAAAACCATTTCCAATTAGGACCTGTCAGCCAGGCCAAGATGAACAAGAGTTGTCCCTGGGTTGTTAGCTACTGTGGTGTGTCAATACAGAACCCATGGGTGATATTTGGATAGGACCTTGTAACAATCTCCCTCTTACCTCAATAAGATCTACTCTCTCCCTTGAGGGTGCTTCCGCTGACTTCTTTCTCTTCTAACAAAGTTTACTATGCTTTTGCTAAGTCGCCCGTCTTTCTTGAAATCCTCTCATGCAAGAGGCCAAGAGCCAAGAACACAACACATCTCTGAGAAGATTGTAAGTCTAATCTTATCTCTATTATCATTTCTACATTTCAGATGGAGCAGGGCCACATGTCCCAGAGCGAGCTCTGAAGAGTTCACATCTGAATAAGTAAGTTCTCAGGAAAATAAAATGGATGTGTTGATGAAAGAACTCTGGTCAGTGCCTTCCTTTGCTACCCTCCCATAGAGGAAATAATGTACATTAGGAAGTTTAATGCTCTGAGATGTCCTGGTGGGGACTTGGGGGTTTGTCTTAGTTTTTAAGATCAGCTTAATAATTAACTTTGTATTTCCATATTTTTTGACCATAGAAAATGTCTTCTGCCTCTCAACCAAGATCATTCCACAGAACCAGTATCTTCACTGAAGACACAGGGAAATGATAGAAAAGGTTAAATGAAAAAATAACTATAAAAACTAGAAAAAATATAAAAGTTATTGAATATTTTATCTAAGATTTCTAAAAGATAAAACCAAACAAACCACAAATAAAAAGACTACCCATGTTTGACTACGTAAAAACTAACATTTCCTACATCCTAAGACTTTATAAACAAAAGCAGATGCTTCACTGGGCATGAATATCTGTAAAATGTTGACAAAGGATCAATATCCCAATTCAGAAAGAATATTAAAGATTAATAAAGTACATACACAAGAAAAATGAAAAAAGGGCATCAACCCAAATTCACAGAACCAGAAATAAGAAGTAGCCAAAAAATACAAGTTCAATAAACCAACATTCAACAAATGCAAACTAAATAAAAAGATGCAATTATTCTTTACCAAATTGGTAAATGCTTTATAAAATATTATTCTTTGTATAAAAATGCAGAGACAAGAACCACTCTGCCCTCCCCACATAGACAGCTTTTTCTGAATGGTCATATCTTGCAAGAGTTCAATCTCTGGGATTTTATTTAAATAGATTTATATAGATGCTGGTCATCATGGTATTTATTGTGAGGGAAATATATAAAATTCTAAACTTTCTATAGGAAAGTTATTAAGTAAAATAGTGTGACTAATATGACAGAAAGTGCTCGTGCTTCCATGAAAAAAAATGTTTTCCATATAATCATACGAAAAGAAATACCCAGAATATAACATTTAGTGTGAAAAGCAGAGTGGCCCTTATTATATCTCAGCTGTATTTCTATAATTGTGTGTGTATATACATACAGAAGAAAAGACTGAAAGCAAATATGTCAACACAAATAACACTACCCTCTGTCATGGTACCTGGGTGGTAGCCAATGTGCTGGTGGTCAGAAGAATTCTGCAAGACCAAGAGAATCACAGAAGAAGATATGCAGCAAGGACATGGCAAAGACATCTGCCCACAGACTTAGATGTCTGGGCTTATGTGAGCTTCTAAGTTCTTTGTCTTTGGTAGACATTTTGCTAGGAGTGGTTTATGCTAAACGAGGGGTGATTGACAGATTCCTGTGTCTTGCCCAGGATGCCTACTCTGCATGTATCAAATGCTCCTTCCTGGGTTTTACATCAGATGCATGAGATGCAAGTAATATGTATGAGGTTTTAAGTAGAGGACTCTCGCGTCTAGATCAATATAGGTCAAACTTGGGGATGTCTGTGCATGCTCCTCAGGATGGTCAATAGTCTTTTTGAAATACAGGATCTTGCATTTACACTTTGGAGAAGTTAGCTACTCCAAGAACAGCAATGGGGCAGGAGGAAAGCCCCATATCAATTCTACTGATGGAGGTGGGGTGAGGCCTGTACAAGGGTCCCTAACCTATCCTGCCTCACTCTCTGTATGGCTGGTGGTTTTTCTAAATTCTTTTCAATAAAAATAAAGAATGGTTAGTGCTGCCAAATGAAGAGTTGACTTCACCTTTATTAATTATCTAAGAATTTCTTATAAGTAGCACACTTTCAACAACGAACAGATGTTAGTTTTGGATATGGTTTTAAATATTTTTTTAACTTTTTAACTCTACTTATATTCTTAACTAACGTCTTTTCTTGTATTTTAGACAAAGATTAATGATCAGCACATACATATAATACCACAAATGCAGACTAATTAATACTGATTAACTATTAGATGTTGCTGTGGCTGGTTTTTTTAGGAAAATATTTGAAACAGACAAATAGACAGGACAACTTCTAATCAATGTCTTTTTCCCCCCAGTGGCTTAGAAGAGTAGTGTGAAACTTTTCTAGACTTTGCTTTTCTTGGACATAAAAAAGAAAGATAAGACTTGCTTCATAGAATAGTCTCAAGACGAGCTTCAAAACATTGCAGTACCTGGGAACTGTAAATTCTGAGGAATTCTAAGAACCAATGTAGCTAGGTACTTCTGAAGAGCTTCAGGACTCTGCACAACATTATTTCCCTAAACCTCCCCCACTGCTCTGATTTAGAAGTTCATTCCTGAGTTTCAATAATCACATTTGTTACCAGCAAAACTGAAGCTATAGCAGAAGATATTAGAACCATGTACTATTAGATTCATTAGAACCATGTACTAAGATTAGGCTCATCCTCATTTTCAAGTACAAATTCATATTCATATTTCATAATTGCATTCCTAGAATAAATTTTTTAAAAGATGGAAATAAGAAATCTTTCAGGCCTTTCAGATAGCACATAATATAACTCCATTGTTTACCACCTACTTTCCTCACTCACTACCTAACCTTGAAATTAAATGACAGTCACGTTGTACTTGTTCTTCTTTTTACAACCAAGTCATTTTTGGAATGATGACTTTTTTAGTTTTATTCTACTATTATAATGCAAGTTCATCCCACTTTTAATTTAGAGCATATCAACAGATGAAACAAAGAATCATTATTTACATTACAAAAGGATCCTTCTAGTTATCAAAGGATTCATTGCAAAGATTCCTTTAGAAGCTAGCTCCTCTCTTACAATTAAAATATTTCAGTTTAGAACAATTTTGTCAGCCTGTAGCTTTTCAGTACTGAAAGTGCCTATCTCATTACAAAAACAGAACTTTCCAGAGCAAATAGCCACTCAGCTATGCCCCAATAAATCAGGGAAAGAGAAAAAAAGAGGCTGAGCCAAGGAGAAACATGGAAAAGAATAAGCAGGAAGGACAGAATAAGTATAAAAACTAAAAATTGTTGATTCTCAAATATCTGGTGGGATAGCAAAGTAAAGCAACGCCATGGCTTTTTACATTACACACGCACATATACATAACTATTCCCCTACATAAAGGCTTTTGAGGTCAGGGCCTCTGTCTAGTTATTAGTCCTTACCTAGTAACAAACCTCAAACACAAAGATCTTAATAAATATTTCTTGGATGAGAGAATTAATAACTGACACAAAACAACACATTTGACTAAATTCCACTGAATGTGTGTGATAATAACAGTGGCTGCCCCTTTGCAAGTTGTCTTTGGCCCAGTCATCTTTCCTTCCCTTTCCTTTGCCCAGAATTCTAAAGAAATGTCACACTTAATCTGGGCACGGCGGGGCACTCCTATAATCCCAGTGGCTCTGGAGGCTGAGACAGGAGGATTGGGAGTTCAAAGTCAATCTCCGCAAAAAGCGACGTGCTAAACAACTCAGTGTAGACCCTGTCTCCAAATAAAATACAAAAACTAGGGCTGGGGATATGACTCAGTGGTCAAGTGCCCTTGAGTTCAATCCCTGGTACCCTCCCCCTCTAAAAAAGAAATGTCACACTTAGGCGATTAAAATGTTAATCGCTAAATAATCTTTCTTTAAATTTACAGAACCCAGAATGTCTGGAGATCTTCAGATAACATCAGAATGTGAATTACCCCTTTTTGTTCTTTAGTTCTATAATCAACTAACATACAGTTTAAACCCTTGTGAGTTTGGACTTGCAGAAAAGTTACATGTTTATCTAAAGGGGTATAGGAAATAGCCCCAGGAGATCAAGGTCGCTTGCAATGTTCCAGCCAGGGAATAAGAAGGAGGCATGCTCTGAATGGCAAAGAACCCCGACTAGCACATAGTCTTCCTATCCTTTGCCCCCATCACCTCTATCTCTTCCCTATTAAAAGCCTTTTCACATACCTGAGCACACTAAGATAACCTGTGGGGAAGATGAAACTTTCTCCCACATCATCTTAAGATGTTGGTCCTTGAATTAAGCTCATTTCCTTTCCACCAATTCTCACCTCCTGAGTATTGGCTTTTGAGTGGTGAGCGGATGGACTTGGATTTGATTG